GAGAGATTGTAATATATCTCTCAATTTTTGATATCACAAAATTAGATTAAAACACATTCGGGAAGAGTGGGCTGACACAAGCGCGCACTGCAGCGCGCAGGAGTGCGCGCTGCAGCGCACAAACGCGCTACAGCGCGCTTGGGTGTTGTAGCATGCGTAAAACAGACCTCTCGAGTCTGTTTTACTAGGCCCGCGCGCTGCAGCGCACAGCAGCGTGCGCTGCAGCGCACGGACGCGCTGCAGCGCGCCTCTTGAGCGCTGCAGCGCAAATTGTTAACGGAAAATGTGTTTTCGTGTGTTTTAGTGATCTGAAAAGGTCTCGAACCATTGCATCTATTTGTGATATATTTTCTCATATATCTGAGCACTTATTAACAATAGAAATAACTATTGATATAAGTGCATCTGCATATAAAATATAACCATCAAATTGAAAAGGTATCTTTATGTGAAAGGTTGTAACACTTAAAGAGGATGCATGCATCCCTGTTTTTATTTGATGGACTTCAGAAAATACAGATATATTTTTGTTCTGGAACTCAATATTTTTTGCTGGATATTGTGTTCAAGGGTTTGTTGTATCTTAGGGGTAATTTGTCATTTAAAACTCATTATCAAACTTTGAGAAGTGAGGACAAATAAAACCTTAAAGAAAAGTATTCCTATACGCTTCAAACCCTCTTTCTGCTTTCTCTATTCTTTTCATCCTCCAAATTCCGAATTTCTCTTCAACAGTAACATAAACAAATTAATAGTGAGAGAATTGTACAGATCCACTAGCATGTACAACCCTGGATTTTCATGATCCGATATCTCTCGGATAGTTCCAACTGGCGGGGTATCAATCTTTCGAATTCTTGGCGTGGCAAAATCGTGCGCTTATCAATCGTGATGACCACCTCAACCGCCTCGTGCCCCAACACCAACGGCTCACTAACAACACGCACCGCAGCCTCCGATATCCTCGTCACTACGTCGTCAAATCCCGGCAAAGATACTCGCTCGACCAACATTGAGTCGTCGTCGGTAATAAGCTCCTTCCAGAGGTGACTCTGACCCCTTTCTCTATCAAAGAAGATCAATATGAGTTCTTGCGACCTCGACTTTTGCTTCCCCAGTAGACTCGAATTCTTCGAAGGAGTAATGGAAGTCGGCGTTACTGCAGAAAATTTGGGCCTCGCCGGCGGGATTAGCGTCGGAACGGGAGTTGTGAAAGACGCAGAACAACAAGTGTAACTCAGTTGAGGAAAGTGTTTCGTTGTCCGGAATTGGGTTGGTCTTTATTTTGCTGTGATGTATGTGTTTCGCTCCGTTGCCGCCAAATCTATAAGGTTGTTCAAAATCGGCAAGTCAAATGGATTATTGTTGTTGTGAGCCATTTTGTGATTGATTGCTAATCTGAGAAAGAAAGAAGCGCCGTGAAATTAGTTAAATGAGTAAGACAACTGGTATTTCTAATTTATATAATTAAACTGATCATAAACTTACATGCAAACTAAAAATAAAAAGAAACGCTGATAGGGTTTGTAATCATAAGCCAACTAGATTAAGAAATTCCTCATGGTTTTGTTCGAGTCTGATTAGGACTCCTTTCCCCGTTTGGTATGCAATAGGACAATATTGGATAGGATAGTGTTAGGGTAATGGATAAAATTTTAGTTTAATCCAATCCAATGTTTAGTATTATATTATTAGTATAAGGGCTTTTTTCCAAAAACTTTCAAAATTATTTTGGATAAAATTGTAATTTTTCAAACCTTGAGGAGAAAAATATGGTTTTAAAATATTTTAAAATATAAAATTACATTTTTATCCCTTAATTTTTGAAAATTACAATCAGACCCCAATTTTATAAAAATTTACAAATAGGTCCCAAATGTTTTTCAGAATGTGCTCTAGTAGTTAAAAGTTATATGTACTTCAACAGGGATAAAAGAGAAGGAACGGAAAGAACAAGCGCCATCTCTCATAGACGTCATCTTCACAGATGTTTTCATCTGAATGACAGAAAAAAGAGAACTTGGTAAGTGGGGTATTTTTTCTTTTAATTCTTTTGAGAAATACTTTCTAATTATAGTTAATTGAGTGTATGCTCTTTTATTTCTTTGAAAAAATGTTATTTCCATTTTATAGTTAATGTGGGGATATATTGATGGATAATATAGCTTTAATGAAGCGTAAAACTGTTAAAGATATAAATTATAAATTGGTGGAGGCATTAATAATTTTGTTAGGTGCAAGTATAATTACTTTTATTTTTTTATTCTTATTTATTTGAGAGAATTACATGTTTTAACTCATAATCACCAAACCTCATAATTCTACTCTTTTGAAAAACTCTACCCCTTTCATTTATATGAGATATTTTCATCATAAATTAAAAAGACTAAAATACCCACAGATTATGGACCATAACCTGATGGATCACGCTATGACTGATGCTGGTTACCGGAGGTCAGCAGCTCGCATAATCTGTCAGGTTATGGATCATAACCTGATAGACTATGGCCGACGCCAGTGTAATCTATCAGGTTGTGGATCATAACTTGATAGATTATGGCCAGCGGCCGGCCGGTGACCGGTGTAATCTGTCAAGTTATGGATCATAACCTTTCAGGCTATGGATCATAACTTGTCAGGTTATGGCCGAAGACTCGCCGGTGGCTGGTGTAATCTGTCAGGTTATGGCCGGTGACCCGCCAGTGGCCGGGGGAATCTGGCCGGGTAT